TTATGGCCCGAGCCTTTTCACATAGTCGATATTTAGGCATGAAGCAACCAACATCGCGCGCGTCTTGGATCCCGACTGGGACTACGAGCAAGAGAAACTTCTACTTTTCTTGCCATTCTACCATGCGTACGGCTTTGGTGAGTTCCATTTCGTCCCGTGTCCTCAGGAGTGTCGCCTGTCTTGGAAGCGCACGGTCGCGTGGCGGCGTTAGCGTCAATCGATTTTTACCGCTGAACTCGTCTAAGTGAAGAGTGGCTACCACAGAATTCAGGGTTGCTTGTTAACTCTTGATATCAAGTCCCCTCCGAAATGATGTCCTTTCCAGGTCTGATCAACTTCACGCTACTTGTTGGCAGTACCGGTATAATATTCAAATCTTTTGATCCACACAACTTCTGTCGAGCGATTCAAGACCACAAGGTAAGTGTGTAGGTTGAGTTCAAAGGGAAAGTGCAACTTGACAGCTGTCCCTCTGCACTTTTCAATGCTCGGAAAACTCGTGTCAACACTAACACGTGGTTCGCTGAGCAAAAATCCCTGCTTCCTATATGAGAGCATGAAAAACCATGAACTGAACTTGTCATTTAGAAGATGGTTGTGATACCCTTACAATCACTTCCGTGCCGGAAATGTAGATGTCTGCATGGCTTATCCTTATAAACTCATAAATAAGGGAGTTTCCGTGAGAGTTTTTAAGAGCAAATTTACAGATTCGCATCTTGCCCTTGGTGCCCCCGATCATGGTGTTCCTTGCCAAAGCACCCAGTCTGTGACCAGTACGATCTCTCCTCTATCAGCTTGATCATTTGTGGAGCAGCACCGGCTGGCAAGGACATCTGCGAGGAACTATCTAGGAAATACCCCAAGATGAAATACATCCAGCAAGGTTAGTTCCGATTTCCGTTTCCGACTCACGATCAGTAAGTGCGGCTAAAAATAGCAACGGGAGGCGTTGGGAAGTGATTGTGTCGTGATGCCAGCGCTTGACCGGTGTCGTCATCAAGCACTGCAAACAGCTGAGCAGATGTATATTCCTCCTGGTGTCACTGGCTATTTCACCGAGCGCATGACCGAGCTGGCGTAAAGCGCAACTGGCGCGTCTTACGTGGGGCTCTGGTGGTGGTGGGCTAGTTCGTTGAAAGCAGCGACCCCGCCCGTCAGTTTCAACAGTTCGAAATTCACTTGCTCGTACTCTCTGGCTTCCCAGGATGTGTAGGAAATGCCCAGTGAAGGTCCTCTATCACTTCATGAAGCCACACGTCGTAGTCGGTGAGTGCTTAGATTGATACACTTTCGATATGATGAGCATGCGGGAGAGAGAGCCTTGAAAATTCCATTCTGCCCCCGTTATTTCCTTCACAAAGGTGGGCCATGACAAGCAGGACGGAAACTTCGAGCTAATTGGGGATATCCCACTTTTGGTCCCTCTTCAAGTATTCGATTCATATTTCTGGCTGGGTATTCAACTAATCATAAGCAGAGCTAAGAATTGGGTGGTTGGGTTCCTGTTCTAGTTCCTCTTTCCCACAAGTGTTAGAGCAGGTATCGATTTTACGCGCACGTAGTCGATCTTAGCACAATACCAGAATCAGAAGTGGCTACGGCTGGCACGTCCCGATAAGCCTTGAAACCAGAAGTGGAGCAATTTTAACTGATCCTCAATCCCATGAAATGATTAGCCATGTTAAGCTTGTCCTCTTCCCGTTCGTGAGCGGAAAGGCGCTTTCAAGCAGTGCTTTATTTTCAACTGATTATTCCTAATATTATGTGCATTCATTTGCTTTAAATTGTTGATAAAAAAGGATAAAGCATTTGCCGTTGATCAATCCCTTTTTGGGATGCGGCACGCATTCTACTTCCATTTGTACATTCGTAGTGGCGTTTGAATGCGATGTGGCCTATACAATGACTTGCGGGGGCCAGCCGATGTACAAGTCAGTGTTTTTTCTCCTCTCAGACAAGTCTGGTACCAATTAACCGACCCGGACACGATGGAAGGCTCTGGTGGCGCCGGGCCCGATCATTTTCAGGACTTGATCCTGCTGTGATAAGCGGCTACTCGTAGTATATTAACTTAACATTAATTTACTACTTGCCATTTGTTGATAACTTTATTGAGAAAACCATTTTCTGTTTGAAGCCTGCGCGATTTCTTGATCCATTGCCTGCAAATGGGTAAGCATACTCTCTAATATCTAATAATAAAGGTATCTTTCATATTATTATATTATTTATTTGCTCGTCTGGTGGACGCTCTAAAGCAATAGCACCGTTCATAATTCATCAATGGATCGTTTTGATCGAAATCCACATTAAAGGAGGAATTCACGATTAGAATGAAGTCGAAGAAAGGGAAACTGACCTAGTTGAGGGACCCACGGACCTCCTGAGGGTGCGAACTGACGCGCAATTCGCATGGAAAAATTTGACCTCGGCGACCTATCATGCCTCAAAGCTGGCGGGTCCGGCGATCTCCGCCCACCGATCATCTGATCACTCGCCGTAGTTCAATACGTGGCGAGTGATTAGATAGCTGAGAGAGCGTAGTGTTGAAGAGGGCACAGCGATGAGAGTCGCATCAATGCTCAAATCAACGGGCAAGGAAGGGGTCCCATTTCTCGGGTTCTGGGCCGTTTCTCATGGTTCTTCCTTCTTTCGTGTACCACTCACCATCCCTAGGTTAATTTGAAATGGGTTGCTTTTTCATCGTGAATTCGTCCTTTAAATGAGGTAACTGATGGACCAGTAATGAAAGAGCATAAGAAGCTGTCGGGCTCCCTAAGCACATTGCGCCACTGTGTGGGTGGAGATTGAGGGCTTCCTATTGGCCAGCCCTTTCTCTTGGTACAGTGAAGAGGGAAAATGTGCTTTTGAGAGTCATTTGCAGCTCCTTTTTTGCTCTCTTCATCATTGGTCGGCAAACTTTTAGATCTTTTCGAATTTTCGGGCGCAAAGAGCTATAAACACGGAGTTGCGTAATGTGCCTTTAAGTCCGAGCTCGCAGAGGGTCCGCTTGCCACATTTTCTTGCGAGACTCGTTATGAAGGAGAAAAATGAGCGGAACCTGACCATGATTAGCTAATTATTCATGCTGCTGCAATGTTTAACCTGGCCGCTATGGTGAGCGCATTGCAACTGACCGACGACTGACACTTTGCATTGAAAAATTAAGTGCGATCAGATAGATTTTCCTAAAAATTCAGGCTATGGCATGACAGAATGCACAATGGCGTCACATCTGCCCGATCTCAAAAATAGCGTGCCATTCGGAAGCGTCGGAAAAGTAGCTTCAAACCTTCGCATGAAGGTGAATTGTCCTGTATCGTTTCTTTCCCCTTTTTCAAGGCATCGGTTTCATTTTCAGATTGTCGATCCTTCTACTGGCAAGGAAATGCCGACCGGTATGAGTGGTGAGATCTGCATTAAAGGTCCGACGGTCATGCTGGGATATCTGGGCAGACCCGATGCAACGAAAAGCACGATAATCAACGGATGGCTGCATACTGGTAAGTGATAAATTCCATTGATGAGAGGGATCCATGGACAGCAGCTCATCAATGCTGGC